TGAACAGTGGCACTCTCCGACATACCCGACTGGCCAAGAATCGAAACCGTTGCTGAGTTTAGACTACGTACCGGACACGATTGCTTGGCAAAACACCTTCACAGATTGGGATTATACACTCAATCCACATGCCCTCTATGTAACCTACAGGAGGAAATGGAGAAGACCCACCTGATTCGGTGTCCGGCCCTAAAGACAAGTACGGAAAGCCAAAGATACTAGGAAGCAAGAAGACAGCTAATGAACTGCTATTAATTAACTGCTATAAATGTACCCACCACCCTTGGGGGAAACTGAAGTCAAAGTTTAAGGGCTAATGATAAATATCACAAAGCCTGCCATTTGAAATAAATAAATAATATTACTAAAGCATTCAATGTTCAAAGAATGCTGACAATGAATTCCGGTTAGCTATAATTGGATTCTGCATCTCCGAGCAAACTTGATCCAATAAATCAAACCAAATCCAATTGACCAAAACGAAAGCTGCAATGTCTGTTGAAAACGAATTGATGAACGTATCCAATCGCATTGATTATCCGCCTTTCCTTTTCTCAATAAACCCAAAGGCAACTTTATTTAAGCCCCCACCCCCTCATTCACAAAGAGAAAAAAAACGTAAAGAGGATATTGATTTCTCTGGCATTTAATCGAGATTGTTGCTCTTTGCTACCAATATTGGAAAATTAATGTTAAAACTTTACACCATATCGTACTAATTAGCAATTAGATTTAACAGCGTGTACATGCTTGTAGAAAGTGGGAAAGGTCTCCAGGTTTTCCTTGGCTTTTTGGTTCAATTTATCTACATTCGTGAAATATTTCCCAATTTTTTTTCATTTAATGAAGCACTTAATGCTGAATTGATTGACTTTTATTCATGTATTCCTAAGCTGAAAGAATTTTGGCTAGGAAAAGCTATTGAAAATGGGACCAAGAAAATGCGATATGATAGAAAAATGACGAAAAAATTGCATGGAGATTTCAACGAGATTAGTGAGACTCAGAATGCGCTTAGAAGACGAATTGACCTCAAGGGATTGAAAAAAATCTTAGCAGAGAAAATTTTGATCCAAGCTTGTTGAAATATGTAACATTTTTTCTACTCCGCAAAACTGACAATAGTACATTTTATAACGATTAAACAGAGGTCCTTTATTAATCAGTTTTCTTGAAATGACCGTCCCTTAAGACGTAGAAAAACAGAAATGATAAATTTCTTTATTCATCGTAGAACAGAAAAGGTAAAAAAGGTGTAGTGTATGCCATTAATAGCGGGAGATGGTTTAGATGAAAGTCGGTTGAGAATCGACGGAGCTTTCATGGTGTTGACGATATCTACTTCGAGACCGTGAATTACTAACACCATCTCCACTTCCACCAATTCCGCTACTCCTTGAAGTGCGACGACCACCTCTACCCGTGTGAGAAGGAGAGGAGATCTCCGAGAGTTCGATCTCCTCACCTGGTCTTTGATTGAAAATTGATCGATTGGCTAAAATTTATCAAAACACGTCATAAAGTCGAATGAAAAAGACACATGAAGGTGCTGATTGTGTGACATCGAATAAGAAGCAATTCTAGCGCCAAACTTTTGGTGGCATTAGGTTTTATAAGAGGCAACTGGGGTTTAAGAGTCACATTCCAGCACGCCATTCTTGACGTGGACATCAGATTCATCGCGAGTCGTTTCGAAGTCCTGTATGAATAATGGCATAGATTAATATTATAATTTTAAAGCATGTACATCATGAACTTCGATACACAATTCACCGCGTCTCAACACATCTTCTTTACCTTGGCCACAGCGTGTGCAATAAAGACTACATCTCCATAATATTTCCTCAAACAACAATCTTTTCAGAGCGACATATCTTCTTACTAAAGTCATAAGCAAATACTCACAATTTTCGGAGATTTGCAAATAGAGGAAAACAATAATTCATTATTACAATTATGACTGTATGAATCTAATTGATCGATATCATACCTCAGTGAAAAGAGCTGGAGGAATTCAAAACGTGCCCTTTAAGAAATGCGCCAATCGAAGGCCATCAAAATCACAAGAAATAAAGAAATAATAAAGAAAGAAACAATAGGAGCCCTAATCATACGAAGAGCTCTATAAAGAAGAATTGGTCTCAGAATTGTCTGAATTCGCCTTTTGTTCGCCGCTTTGCTCAAAATTGCATTGATAGCTATGCTCAAATTTCGGCTTTAAATACTGGCAACAAATAACTGAATGAAAAAGTTGCACGTGAGACGCTAAGCAAGAAAAACTTTGATTTCAATTTTTGCACCCTTGCCAACACTGTAGTATCGAAATAAATCTCCCATCGAGGTTTCATTCATCTAAAATCGAATTCATTAGTTTAAAATCATAGAGTTTGTAGTTTATTATTATTGGTTTGACTCGAGACAATAAATGACTAGCAGTAGAGACAATCAATAAAATTCGGAGAGGCACTTCACAGCTTTGTGAAAGTATGTCGCTTAAAAATCCCTTATTTCAAATAGAAAAAAAGCGAACCTACATTAGTAGAAATTGTACACTAGCAAGAATATTCGAGTCGTAATAAATTTAGTTGAATTGGTTAAATAGTACTTTATAATGGAAAATAGTTACCCTCTCCACCCGTCCAGGTCATATCACTTCCCCCATGGGGTTGTTGACGTGGAAAATACTGCCCCTCAAAGTTATCATCTCCAATTGTGGAAGCCAAATGGCTTGGAGGGTGTTGACCATAGCCTATTGATCCGTAGGGTACTGACGCATTCAGGGGCATCTGTTGTTCCACACTCGCAAGTGACTGCGGCTCGGCAAACCTAACAGGAAAGTAGTTGATAGAAAAAAAGTGTGAAATACTTCTTAAATAATGCACGATCTTTTGAATTAGAACTCACATTTCTGGGACCTCAAATAACGGTTCAGTAGGTGCAGCCTTTTCTTGAACTAAATAAGCAAATATCTTAAACAATATTATAGTTTTAATATTAATATAAAAAATAATGATTGAGTTTACCTTCTTTAAAACGTTGGCCCCTGATGCAAATAAGAAGAACAAATACGAAAATCACAATGATGAAGATAATGATTGTGACGGCAAACCAGATAGCACTGGAACCTTCCAAACCTCCTGGAGGTGGAGGACCCGTAGTGGTAATGTATTTTGATTCTGAGGCTGTAGAAATCAAAGCGCCATTGGTTGCTATCATTCGCACCTCATATTTCGTTGCTGAAAAGAAAACGTCACGACTACTTATTTATTTTAAGTCGAAATTTATTTAACATTGGAAAGAGGGACACTCACAGGGATTAAGTTGGGTCACATAGAAAGTACGAGAAAGGAATACTCTAAGAGATTCTTGCCAAAGGATTATCCCAGGCATTCTATACTGAACAAAGAAAACGGATCCTGGTTCCCCACGGTGACTGGGTTCGAAGGTCACGTTGAAGGTAGTATCGGTGATGTCAGATATGAAGAAAGTTGGTGGCGAAGGAGCTATAAAAAGTCACTCAACACACTATATTTGAACTTACTTGACGTGACATCCAGTGTTGTGACATCAATAAAGCAATCTATTCCAAGTCCAGCAGACGTCCTCGGTATCACAACTAATCGATAAGAGGTGTTTGCGCGAAGAGCTGTTACTTCATACCAAACCAAAGATCCGTCATATACAGTAGGATATCGTAATGACAGAGCAATATCTAAACCATTTACTGATAAGGACGCAACTAGTACTCTTTTTATTCACCTACTTTCTCGAGCTTCAAAATCATAACCAGTGATTAATCCATTAGGCTGCGATGGGGCCTTCCACGATATATTGACTCTGTTGATGCCAATTACGATAGCTTTGAGTTCTGAAACAGGTCCTGGAGGACCTTCGAGTGTTTGAAAAGTCACTGTAGGACTAAAGAAGTTTGTGATAGCCTTAAAATAAAATAAATTACCTCATAGGGCCAGCATGAAGACTGTTGAGAATTCGAAGCCAGACTTTAATCTGTGTATTTCCTGGTGCACCAGTTAATGTGTGATTAATCATTTCTCCCCAGGTAAAATTTCGAAGTGTAACAGGGATTATTGAAAGTGCCGAATCCGCTAAAGTTGATGCAGTAACTAACTGACGTGTATAGCGCGTGATAACATGTTGCACAGCCTCACCCAAAACCGACTGGGGTTGAAAGGCTCTACTGGAGCAGTAGCCTTCAGCAGTATCCGAATGGCAACCTTCTTCAGGATGAGCAGCAGGAGGAGTATAGAAGAAACGGGATAGATATGAATAGTCGTCTTCGATACTGCCAAAGTTATCTTCTGGCAAGGAACGGGGCTGTCGAAAGTAAGATATTGGGACAGAGAGGCGTTGAAATAGGACGTCCTGGAACCGCTTTTGCCTTTCACATTCCATCTGAGCTAACGAAGCAAGGCACCATTCAACTCTATAACCACGGAAAAATCCATTAACCTGTGGTTCTTGATTTTGGGTGATAACAATCCACTGCAAAACGGCTCCATCTGAAGTCGATTGAACTACCGTCGGTGTAGATGCGGCTATACTTGGCATATTTTCTCCAGAATAACCCCGTGCTACTGTAGCGACCTTTGTGCTGGTGCCTTTATCATTTCGACTTTGAATCGTCACCTACATTATAGTGATATAATTTTAATTGAAGCCAACTCACCTCAAACAATTTGTATGACTCAATCGGTCGGGTAATTCTATTTGATGGACCTCCAGATTGAAACTTGGTGTAGGTTATTCGATCAGTCCTCCAATCACTAATAATTGTAGTATTAACATCAGTGGGTCCAATATTATTACAATCAAGACATCGAACGGTTAGTAAGTAGACAAGGTTACTTGCATAGTGCTCAATGTATGGCATTGTCTAAAAAGAAATTTAGAATCTAAAATTGCATACTTACAGACCACTGAATAACAAGGTTGTTCGGTGCGGTTCCATAGACGTAGAGCTCATTCGGGTTGCTATTAGGAGCTGTTGCTAAGATTGAGCATGTTCCAGTTGTGGAGATACTAGGCTCTGATAGGCCCACACGATTGCGTGTACGGACGCGGAATCGATAATCGATATTTGGTCGCATGACAATCTATTAAGATGGGAAAAAATTTTGCACTGTCGAGGGAACAATTTAGCTTCTAATTTATGGTGGTTTTCTACGTTAACTTCAAGGTCCTTCTTTTTCGATGTTTGATAAACAATAAATGTAAGTTAAACAGCGGGAGTAAGTAATTTTTAAATTAAAACTAAACACACACTGAAATCTTGCTCATGTTGATTGAGCATACAAGCAATTGATATGGTTTGCAATTCAACTGAAACGACAACTCTTTAGAAAATAAAGAAGTAATTGACTAGTTGCTTAACTGCGCCACATTTTGTTAAAACAGAATTGTCTTTTAATTTTCTATAGAATGATTAGTTATATACTTAATTATATTATATTTATAATATTACATAAAATTATATTAATTATGTACATATAATGGACTTAGAATAGATAGCCGACAAAGCAAAACCCTTTCAAAGCTGCAACATTTCAGAATAGCCGTTTCCCACAGGCTGTTTCTATGTTTCCAACACCCATATCGTTCCTGATAGCTTGACAATTTTTAAAAAATAAGAAGAAAAATTGAAGTACTGTGTAAAGTCTTTGCATTCTGCCTTAACTTCTTCCGTCAAGTCAGATAGCGGAGATAAGATCTTCAAACATTTTAAGTAACATTAGAGACCTGCCTTGAAAAAAAGTGGTTAACGCCTTCTACACTTATTGGTTTTACTCGTGGGGTGTGCGATAGACTTACCTTCACGTGGTGCAACCTGGGCAACATATACTCATACGGCAAAAAGTCTGTTAACCGGCAATTGACTCCTGACTTCAAACTACCATGACCTCACTGTATGTCATATTCGACTACTTTCACAGTACTCACCTCACCTTTTTCCACCTTTTCTATCTTCGTCTTTGAAACACTCTTCTGTTCCACCCCCCCCCCTCCTCTCGAATTTTTTCACCTTGATGTTCCTTCCCCTCTGTGTAGCCTGGAGTCAACTAAAGGGCTAATGATAACCATCATAAAGCCTACCATTTGATATAAATAAATAAATGGTTTTACTGGTACCTGACTAACAATGCGATCTGGCTGGTTAGTCACCAAATTTTTACTCATACCTTCTAACCCTTAAAATTGAAACATCATTTTCTTAATATATATGAACTTGTTTGAATCAATAGGTACACTGCTTCCTTCCATACTTACACCGACGACTCTACGAGCCATTCTTTTATAACATTCGCTTTGGCAATACTGTGGTTTTGCGTCCAAAAACTGCAAGGACATCTTTAGGACAGTATGAGTCAGTCCGACGTCTATCATAGCCTTGACAACTTATCAACTTTCCACTTTTTTTTGCTGTGACCGTCTCCCCTCCTCTCACTCCTTTACTCCCTTCAACACACTTTGGCCTACTCAACTCTTCGTGGTCTGCGTTTAGAATTGTTGTTTGGTATTTTGGATCTAACGATCTATTTCTAGTTCACTCATTTCTACCAGCTAAAACAATAGCTAAGATTAATTTAGTAAATTTACCAATTATTATTACCTTGGCATCCGTCGCCTGAAGCAGACCAGTCAGATTATAAATCTCAGCTCGATACCATGTTTCCCGTTCAAATTGTGTAGAAAATTCAACAATATACTCGATAATCGGGGCGTAATTGTCAGATCCTGGAGCCCATTTGAGCATGGCTTTTTGTGAAGAAGCGAAAGTAATGCAATCCTCAACTAGATTTCTCGGTTGATTAGGTCTACCTTTAACAATTAACCAAAAAGCAAACATCATTTTGCAAATAGCTTTAAAGGATTAAGGCAATTCGTCGATAGATACCTTGAACAAGGAGGGATGCAGTCGCCGTGGCAAAGTCTAATCCATTCGTGGCATTGCAACGATACTGTCCAGTGTCCAACGTTTGAGCTCCTCCAATAACGAGTGAGTAATCAAATCCAACTTGCTCAATACGAGGAGTGAGAAGAGGGTCAATCAGGTTGCTATCCTTGTACCACGTGACTTTTAGATTAGCTACTTCCTCGGGATCAGTAGTCGCAGTGCAGACAAACTTCACCAACTGTCCCTCATAGACCCATGTCTCGATTGGAGCCAGGGTGACTCGAGTCTTTCGACGAACAGATAGAGATCCAGTTGCTTTGGCCACACCGAAGGGGTTCATTGCAGTACATTCATAGACCCCTGTATCAGCAACTGCTCCAGACTAAAAATATTACAACCACCAGCCCACTAACCTCAATTAAAAGATCGCCGTTCTCCATTAATTGGTATCTACCACCATTGATTGGTCGACCATCTTTTCGCCACTCAACGAGGGCCTTTGGAGCGGAATAACTTCTACAAGGAAGTAGAACCTGAATTCCTTCTACCTGGCGCATATTTTGAGGTGGAGCTTCGTAGATATATGGTGGTTCTCTAAGAACATTCACATAGGCATTGACAAATTCATAGCCAAAAGAGTTTGACGCGTTACATTGAACAACTGCAATATCATCCACTGTCAAGTTATTGAGAATCATTGACTAAACAGTCCTCAAGTTTAGTAGTTGAATAGAGGCTTACATTTCCACTGATGAGTTTTCGAACTCCGTCAAGGTAGAAAGAAGGATCTAAACCGTTTACTGTCCATCTGATCATTGGCCTTGGATCAGCATTAGCCTCACAAGTGAATACGATACTGCCATTCTCGGGAACTGTTGTATCAACTGGGAATTTAGTTAGCTTTGGGGCAGCTATAAAGCATAAAATCCCAAAATGACTAACTTGCCAAGAAATAAAAGGTGAATCAACGCGTTCATATGACTTACACTTCACTCGAACTTCGTACTCATAGTTCTTTGAAGTCATTGTAGCCTCATTTACGCCCTGACAGCGATACTGTCCAGCAGTTGCATTCGTCACTGGATTTATTTCGAGTGTCGTACCCATGCTAACAATATTTGTGTTTGGAGACTAGGTAAAGAGATTATTTACGGAAAGAACTAGCCAACCAGTGTAGCATCAACGCCGTCTTTATACCATCTATAACTCGGAAGTGGATAACCACCTAGAATACACTGCAATCGTAGTATTTCTCCAACAACAGCGAGGGATAAGTAAGGAGTTTGATACAGGAAAGTGATTGGTTGATTTATCTATTAATGTATTTTAATAATCGCATCAAAGATAATCTTACTTCGGGATATATAGCTATGATTTTGTATCCCGGTCCAGTTGTCTGCTCACGAATAATCTCATTATTAGCAACGCACTGAAATGTGACCCCGTCATCTGTCGCCAAGACGGCAGCAATATGGAGAGTTCCTTAATAAGAACATAAAAATGAATTTTAGAAGTTAATAAATCGTAAATCGAATATCAATCAAGAAATAAGTTAGAAATAACTCGTGCAAATCTTAGGACGTGAAATTAAAAAAAATCAGGCACATTATGAAATAGTGGCTAATTTGTTACCATCGATGTCAATGGCCAATCGACTTGTTTCCTTGATATAGTCCAATTGAGCATTTTTAACGGTTTGCCAAGTGACAACTGGTGGAGGGTAACCAAGAGGGACTTGACAGGGCAAAGTTGCAGATTCTCCGATTCTTCTACGGATGGTGATTATCTTTGAATCAACAAACTGCCCCATTTCTGCAAACAAGTCATATTAAATATTAAGATTAAGCAAACCTGCTCTTTTCACATTAATGACGTTAGAAACTGCAACACCATATTTATTTTCTGCAAAGCACTGGTATTGACCATCATCATCTGTTCCAGGTCTTGCGAGAACGATAGTTCCTTCACCAGGATATTTCGTGTACCGACCGATATTACCAGCCCAATTAAAATCTTGCCCATTTTTAGTCCAGTGATATCTAAAATAGGCATAATTCAGGAAATTTATACTTTGGAGATGGCCAGGCTTTTACTTTACAAGGTAGAACAATGGCTTCACCAGGGATAAAAACAGCATGCTTTTTCGGCATTTTTATAAAGGAAGGTGGTAGAGACACTATATGTATTATTATTAAATAAAAACATACAAGCATAAACATGCACCAAGAATATGGTGATAGTAATAAAGCTTAACATTTTTCAGTTAACATATACTCTATAGGCGAATTTAATAATTAGCGGTATTTACTCCTCTAGGTTGATTTGAAATATTAAAACTATTCTACGCAATATCACAGATTTAAAAAGCATATTATGAATAATGTTAAAATTAAAAATAATCTATAATTTTACTTATATTAAATGGTTTCAGTTTATAAGTATCTAATTAGGCTTTCCTGGTTCATATTATATAGCTCTGCCTCGAGAATTTCATTTCTCTTAAAATCGCGCTTTATATTGCAAAATTACAACACTTATGCAAAATATTTAGTTAAATGGCTAATATGTATTTATTTAAGCGTTTGTACTCGAGACTTTTGTAATAGTAATGCGCATCGCTTGCAAATTTCTCCCCAAAATGGAAGCAAACGGAATCTTTCATTTATCTTATTGCACTGTTAAATAAGTGCATGCGATGCTTAAGCACGTCAGGCTTTATGTGTGATGCATTTCTTTATACGAAGTTTTCGTCAATGTTGGTAGCGGTATTAATATCTCCGAGGTATCAGTGTAGTTCTCTAGAGTAGTTCAAATATTTAAAAATGCCTATTTATTAAGAAACGATGAGTTGTTTATTCGGTGAAATGCAGTGATATTGACGCGTTGCTATTTTTCACTGAGACAGGAGTATTTGAATTGGCATTATCTAAGTAAACATTAATATGCAATATCACCAATATACACTGTTGATTGTAACCTCGTTTCATTTCCATGCACCTAGAGTGCAATAGTTAGGCGCATGGTTTCCATTTAAATTAATTTAGCAGTTGGGCAAGCTTTTTCAGTGACATAGTGAAATTAGAATTTATAATCTAATTTAGGCTATTTATTCAGCATATTATTTGGAGTTCACAGCGCTGAATAAATAGGCATCAATAAAAATAAAAGGATATGCCTAAATTCAAAAATTCCATGATTGATATTTCCTTTTCTATCTAGTTTGCAAATGAAAACAATATGTATGTTCGACATTAAGATCATTGTTTTCTTTCCAATAGAAAATAAATTGAAGAAATTTATAATCAATTTTTTGATATTATTTTTCATAGATTCCTGGTGTCGATTACCATCCTCTTTATTCCTTCTATTTCATGCCCAATTTTCCATGCCATCATTTTCACATCATCGAAATTTCTAAAATAACTGACTCTTCAAAAATAGAGGGAGGATGATATTGTGCATTCAGTGATTAAAAAATACATTTCTCCGTTTGTACAATGCGTGTATTCACAAAATAACGTATTATGCCGAGAAAAACTCAGGCAAGGCATTACACTAATTAGAAACCAATAATAAATAACCTCATTTTGATTGACAGTTGCGATGATAAAAAGTAACGGAGGGAAATATTGTAAGTAACTTATTTCCATACTGATAGCAAAACTCTCAGTTTCTAGCCCATCTGTATGTTCCTTCTTCTTATTGTCCGAATACTATTGACCTTTTCAATTGTAAAAGGAAAATCCCAATAGTTGATAAAACTGTGCATTATCTAATGCTCGTATTTAGCTAAAATTTTGATCAAAACTTCAACGTAACTGATGAGTGTTCGTTTCGGAGTAGAAAAGGAAATGCCACATCAATAAAATTATAAACTCTCATTGGACTAATTCCATGAATATTTCATAACACTATTATTTCATTCAATGTAATCTTGCATTTTAATGTAAGTCGAAAAGCTCCAGTCATTTTATTTCCATATCAAACGACCCATATATTATGGAATCAGCACATGTCAAAAATCATACACGGATCTCCGGATTAGGCAACCGGCAATTTACACTTAAAATTTCCAGATTAGCAACTATAATAATAACGGATAAAGTATAAAGAATTTATCGGATTTATATTTTCAAAATAATAAAAGCATAATTTTAGCGAAAATTAATAAATACAAAATTTACCTTCTTAGTGTATAATTTTACGCTGATTGGGGGAAACGAATCTTTTAAATATTTAAATAGAAATTCTTCTTTCGACAGTTGTTTGTCTCAGTTAAACTAATGAAAGCCAGAAATAATCAACTATCACAGATTGAATATAACAATAATTTGTTCTATTGAATAAAATTATGGTAGTGGGACAGTGAATACACCATGAAGAGCACTAAAGTGGAAAGTCGATGACACAGGATGCCTAAAAATGCATGAAATCATCAGCGTTAAAGTAAGTCGTTGTCAAGGCCGGAACCTGCATCAGGTTATGACAAACGATGACTCAGAATGCACCATTCAGAGAGGCGGATGTACAACTCTTAGCGTGAAGGTACAGACTGGGGGAAGAGAGAGGATGAATTGGTTCATTTAATTAGGATCGATCAGACTTCCATTTCTCTGCTCAATGGTTCTTATAAATACATCTCAGTGAGACTCGTGTGATGCCTCTTAAGGATACAAGTCTTATATGGTAGCTGATAACTCGGAAGAGTATGTATAAGATACATATTAGACTAAGGCTAGTTTTTAAAAGACACCATTAATTCAAATTGTAGAAATGCCATAAAATAATGGCTCTTAGGAGATCCTGATAAATCTCACTCTTATTTTCCCTGATGATTATTGACTATTTAAAATTCGTGGGGGTATTACAATTTTCTGCCTCCGTCTATTAGACATTTAAGAAATTTCTTATTTGTTTCTGCTTACTACAGAGGCCCCTCCTTCCGTTATGGCGTTTGGACGCGCCAAATGACTTGTCAGATTCTGAATGATTTCACGAATTGAGAAAAGGCAGCAATGCCGCGTGGTTGAGCAATTTAAAAATGTTCTGGTGAAAGTATGCGACGAATTTCAAATCCTATTCGGAGTTCTAGACACCATCGATTTGCATAGTTGTGATTTATGGTGGGTTTGGGAAGGATGGTTAATAATGTATTAAAAGAAATTAGAACTCCGGGTGAGTTAATAGAGAGGACATTTGAAGGCAAAATGCAATCTAGGACCATAAATAAACGTGAAAAAAACACTTACTACTGAAAACCAAAAAAAACATCCAACAGATTGCACATAAAGGCAAAAAATTGCAAGGACTAAGTGAAGTGCCTTTCAAATATTATTAGGCAGGACATGAAAGATTTGTATGGTTATTTATTTAACACTTAAAGAGCTTGTGGGTCACTCTAGTCAAATGGAGGAATAAGTTAAAACTACCTATATAATGCAAAAGATAGGACTTTAATGCTAAAGATCATCATCATATATGAAGAAGAAATAGAAAGAAAGATTAGGCAATATGTATTTATTTATTTATTCCATTATCGTTAGCCCTTTAGTTGACTTCAAGCTTCACAGAGGGGAGGAGGAATATCAAAGTAAGAGAATTTGGGAGGGGGAATGGAAGTGTGATTCACAGATGTAAAAGCGATGGACAGACACAAAGGCAGTGAAAAGGTAAGATGAGTACTGCGGAAGGGTCGAATTTGACATACAGTGGGGTGATGGTAGTTTGAAGTCAGAAGTCAACTTCCAGTTAAGAGACATTTTTTGCCGTGTGAATATACGTTGTAACATACAGTGGGGTCATGGTAGTTTGAAGTCAGAAGTCAAGGCATACAGTGGGGTCATGGTAGTTTGAAGTCAGTGGTCAACTATACAGTGGGGTGATGGTAGTTTGAAGTGAGAAGTCAACTAGAGACATTTTTTGCCGTGTGAATATACGTTGCCCAGGGTGCATCAAGTGGAGGTAAGTCTATCACACATCCCAGATTAGACAATATCGTGGGTAAAAAAAGTTTATCAGAACACCAAGGGCAGTTTTGGTTCGACCGAACTGTCATGGCAAAAAAAGAGATCAAAATTTAGATCTCATCATTGAAGAGAAAGCAGTGAAGTGAAAAATGGTCAATTGTGTGAGAATCTTCAAGGAAAAGAAAATGGTGCATTCACCTTGTCGACTGCATCACTTGTTCAGAGTTCAAAGAAAAACATGGACTTTCCGTGCCCAAATTTCCAATTAAATTTTCGAATTGTCATCCTCAACTTCAAAATACAATTCCATGTAACTTTCTATAAAATAACAGCAAACCTTCTTTGGAGTAACAAGCACGAATTCCTAATCCTATGAATCAACTCTTTCCGTTTTTCCTAATTACTTCTTCCATTTGTCCAGTCACTAATTTTATAACGACTCACTTTATATTACTGAAAAGTTTTATAAAAACTCAAAAATGATTATGTGAAAAAATAATAAATAAACATGAAAGTGCTCCCATCAATTTTTTGTTTTAATTAGCTTTTTATCTGACTGTTTGTTTAAAGCAAGTGAAGTCACAGTATTTCTAGTCCCTGCATATCCAGAGCGCGGCGGATGGTTATCGATTACCGTCTTCAACTCGACTCCAAGGTTAATTTGCCTGTGCCATCTACATACGCCTATTTTAAGGCACTCTCATTTTTCATTCTCCCTTCAGCGCTTCCTCTCTTCTTATTTTTTTAAGAGGAGGAATATTAAGTTGATTTTAGCTTACAAGTAATATTAATTGATATAAAATTTATTAAAGTTAGGCAAACAGTCTTGGATATGAAAGACTAATTTTTCTTTTTGGAATAACATTTGAAATGACGGAAGACATAAATCGTTCCTAAAATTACTTGAAAATATACAGGATATACAAGATATATACCCCCCCCCCTAACCAACAGAAGGCGGCCAAATTGATACCCTCACGATAATTAAAGTGTACTTTAGGGAAGGTGGGAAAGTTCCTTTACTCTAAAGTATAATTAAACTTCTTTATAAATCATGCTAAGAGAAAGCCAAAAATATCGCGATTGGATATACAGGATGGTATTCCTGGATAAATTATACAGAAATAACATTTCTGCCTGGGGTGTGCGATAGACTTACCTCCACGTGGTGCACTATGGGCAAC